GCCGCTTAACCGACTGAGCCACCCAGGGGTCCCTCAGATGGTTTATTTTTAGTGTATAGAAATGCAACTGATTTGGGCGCCTGCGTGGCTCAGTCGTTAAGCGTCTGCCTTCAGCTCAGGTCGTGATCTCAGGGTCCTGGGATGGAGCCCTGCATTGGGCTCCCTGTTCGGCGGGAAGCATGCTTCTCCCTTTCCCCCTGCCCCTCCCCACCGCTGGTGCTTGTGCTCTCTCTCTCTCTCTCTCTCTCTCAAATAAAAAAAAAAAATGCAACTGATTTTTATGTATTTATTTTTTTTCTACAACGTTACTGAATACATTTATTCTAACAGTTCTTACTGTGGTGTGTGTATGTAGTGCTTTCTATATGTAAGATCCTGTCATCGGCAAACACTGACAAGGTAACTTCTTTTCCAAATTGAATACCATTTATTTCTTGTTCTTGCCCAAGTACTATGGCTAGAACATTTAACACTATGTTGCATAGGAGTAGTGAGACTAGGCATTATTTGTCTCATTCCTGATTTAGAGGAAAGCTCATAGCTTTTCATCATTGAGTGTGAGGTTAGCTGTAGATTTGTCATATATGGGCTCTGTCATGTTAAAGTACATTCATTCTATACGTAACTTATTGAGAGCTTTTATCATGAAAGGATGCTGAATTTTATAAATGTTTTTTGATCCATCTATTGGGTCGATCATATGATTCTTACCATTACTCAGTTACTGTGGTGTATGGTGTTTATTTATTTGTGGATGTTAAACCATCCTTGTATCCAGAGATAAATCCTACTTGGTCACCATGTATAATCTTATCAATGTGCTTAAGTGGGATTGTTTTCTTAATTTCAATTACAGATAAATCATGGTGCATAAAAAAGCAATTAGTTTTTGCATACTGCTTTTGTTTCCTGATGTGCAGTTGAATTAGATCTGTGAGTATTTTCTTGAGGATTTTTTTTTTATGTATGCAGTTATATTCTTCTCTTGTAGTTTTTTTTTTTTTTAAGATTTTATTTATTTATTTGACAGAGAGAGTGTGTGCGCTCACAAGCAGGGGGAGGGGCAGGCAGAGGGAGAAGCAGGCTCTCTACTGAGCAGGGAGCCCTATGCGGGGCTCGATCCCAGGACCCTGAGATCATGACCAGAGCCAAAGGCAGACACTTAACCGACTGAGCCACCCAGGCGCCCCTCTTGTAGTGTTTATATCTGGCTTTGGTATGAGGGTAGTGTTGGCCTCGTAAAATGAGTCTGGAAGTGTTCCCCCCCTGTTCAATTTTTGGAAAAATTTGAAAAGGATTTGCATTAATTGTTCTTTAAATACTTGGTGGAATCGATCCATAAAGCCATCTGGTCCTGGACTTTCCTTTGTTGGGAAGTTTTGAATCCTTCTGCAGTCTCTTTCTCATTATTTCCTATTCAGATTTTCTATTTCTTGATGATTATCCTGGCAGGCTGTGTTTTTCCATCCACATGTTCTACATCATCCAGTTCACTGGTATATAAATGTCCATAGCAGTCTCTTATAATCCTCTATGCCTTTGTGGTTATCAGGTGCAATGTCCCATATTTATTCATTATTTTATTCACCTGAGTTCACTCTTTTTTTCTTTTGGTTATTCTAGCTAAAGCTTTCTCAGTTCTGTCCATCCTTCCAAAAAACAGCTTTGTTGATTCTATCTATCGTCTCTCTAGTCTCTATTACACTTATTTCAACTCTAGTCTTTATCATTTCCCTTCCTCTTCCATGCCTTTGCCCAACCCATTCTTCTTCTCCTTCCTCAGTTGGGTTGCCTCATTATGACGTTTCTTTTTTCTTAACAAAGGCACTTATTGTTATAAACTTCCCTCTTTGAAGTGCCTTTGTTGCATCCCACAAGTTCTGTCGTCCTGTGTTTCCATTTCCATGTATCTCAAGATACACTAATATCTCCGTGTTGATTTCTTCCCTAATTGGCTGTCCAGGAGTGTGCATTCCATTTTCCAGACATTTGTGAATTTCCCATTTTCCTTCTGCTACTGGTGTCTAGTTTCATACCACTGTCTGGCAAAGACAGTAGATATGATTTCAATCTTCCCAAATTGGTCAAGACATGTACCGAAGTCCAACTTCTGATCCATCCTGGAAAATGCTCCATGCATGCCTGACAAGACCAGGTACTCTGCTGCTGCTGGAAGGAACACACTGCACATGTCTGTTAGGTACCCCTGGTCTACAGTGTTATTAAAGACCACTATTTCCCCACTAATCCTCTGGCTGCTTAATCCATCCACTGGTGAAAGTGGGGCATTACTGCCCTCTACTATCATTGCATTTTTGTTAGTTTCTCCCTTGAGTTCTGCTCATTTTTTTGGTCAACTAGACTGGGCTAAGACGTGCCCAGATACCTGCTAAAACATTACGTCCAGATATGTCTTTGAGGATGTTTCCAGAGGAGATTAACATTTCAATTGGGAGACTGCATAAACAAAAACACTCTAACCAATATAGATAGGCATTATCCAATCCCCTGAGGGCCTGAACAGAACAAACAGAGGAATAATGGGCAAGTTGGCTAACTGTGGTTGAGTTGGAACATCCATCTCTCTCTTCTCCTGTTCTAGGAAATTGGTGCTCCGGAATCTCAGGCCTTCAGACTCCGACAGGAACATACAAAATTGACGCAGTTTGACATGGACTGAAATTATACCACTGCTTTCTGGAATCTCCAGCTTGCAGATAACAGATCATGGGACTTTTCAGTCTTCTTAATCACATGAGTCAATTACTCAAAACAAATCTCTTCTTATATCTGTCTATAAATCCTATGGGTTCTGATTTTCTGTAGAGTGCTAATATACCTTACTAATATAATGCTTTCTTTAGAAGTATGTTTATTTAAAAAAGACAGGGATTAGAAAAGAAAAGTATACATCATACGCCTCAAGACACCATTCCCAATGATGATATTTAACTTGATGTCTGTATGGAGAGCGTGCTTCCTTACTTTTTCTACAACTCGATCTATGACCAATGAAAATAATAATAATAATAATAAGGCTTGAATATTTACTGTTCTCAACACATAACATGAATAAGGCATTTAACCCTCTTAAAATTCAATGAATACGAGCTACTATTATGCCCTTTTTACAGATGACTAAAAGAAGACAGAGAACGATTAGGTATCTTGTCCAACATGAGATGAGCAGAAAGTGAAAGATTCAAAGCCAGGCAGCCTAACTCCATAGCTTGCACTCATAACCACCAAGATTTCCTCCATCTTAGCTTTTTCTCCACAAATAATAAAAACACTAAATAAGAACACTATTTATAAGTCACTTTCCTATAAATGCAATTATTTGGAATACAAAAATCAAGAGTTGGAAAGGATATGGGTAATGTAAACCTAAAGAGTATTTGAACAGAAGGAGATAAAACTAAAACTAAAACTGTCTCTCTTTTTTTTCCTGAGAGTCCACAAGGATCTTGCTTAGACACTATTAACTTTTAATTTATTTATAATTCTACCAACCCCAACCAAATGCTTTCTTAGTCATTATGAGATTGTAGAGTATAAATTCAATTTATACTCTATAAATTAAAAGGGAATCATGTCATAGAATAATTTAGGGAGGAGCTACTATTAGGAGACACATTTATTTATTTATTTATTTATTTATTTATTTATTTTATAAAGATTTTATTTATATACTTGACAGAGAGAGAGAGAGAGAAAGAGAGCACAAGCTGGGGGAGTGGCAGGCAGAGGGAGAGGGAGAAGCAGGCTCCCCGCTGAGCAGGGAGCCCCATGAGGGGCTCGATCCCAGGACCCTGGGATCACGACCTGTGTCGAAGGCAGATGCTTCACTGACTGAGCCACCCAGGCGCCCCCGAAGGCCCATTGAAAGACGAAACTTGTGTCACTATGCAAGGAGGGCATCCTCTAATTTAGAAAATAAAAGAAAGTAAAGAAAAATACAACAACAAAGGCTAGAGAAGACAGAAAATCGGCAAAACCATCATGGGAACACTTAGATTTAGGATCCAAACTAACACTCTCTACTTTCCTTGAGTATATCTCATGATGGAAGCTCAAGAGAGCTTGAAAGGAGGTACTGTGTACTATTCCCGGGGAAATCTTCTTGTTCAAGCAATTGCTAGAATAAAATTCTGCAGTCTATATTAATGTGTTGGTATTAGACCAAGTAAGCTTTGTGAAGAGGTATACAGTTAAATCTCTATTTGATGCATACATTCTTATCAATGCATGTGAATTGCACCTAGCCCTTCATAGTCCTGTCCCCCTACCTGGCCTTTTGACCCTGTTTGAAAATTACACCTGGGAAACCACTAGTAAGAGGACTGCCACTCAATTACGTGTCTTTGAGCATTAACCAACTGAAATCAGGCCCCTGCAATTGGAGCATGGCCGAAGAGCCAAACTGCGGCTGAAATCTAACCTCACAGGGCCCTGAAAACCTTGAATAATATCACAAAGATGCCACAAGCTGGTACACAAGATTCCAAGCAATTTTAATTCAAATTGAGAGCTCCACAAATGAGTTGAGGCTCACATTTTTTTTAGAAGTAGGAGGGTCATAAAGAGTGAACAAATTTAAAAAGTCATTATATGTGCTAAAGTATTTGGACAACAATTCCAAGGCTGCCAAAACACATTTGACCAAATCATTCCACGGTTGCCAATTTTAGTTTTAAAACAGATCATTGCCCTCCCACAGCACCAAGCTATTCCAATCAAGTTTGCTTTCTCCCAAGCCTGTTTTCTTTTCATCTTCCTCCAGAGATCCAGCCAAACTCTCCCCTTGTAGGAAATTAAAAGCTTCCGTGACTTTATTCTTCCTCTGTTCCTTACTGTTGAGCTCTATCTCTAATTCCTCTCTCTCCAGTATCACCCTCTGACACTAAAGATCTTGAAATCCACATTTTGACTACTTACTTCAATCATTTACATAATGGCACTCTGATCAATGACTGGAAAATAAAGCTATTAAGAAATAGATCTTTCTGAAGACTGCTTTAGTCTACTAAATATTTAAGCTAGACAAAAGGACTTGAGTAAAAGTCAACAGAAATAGAACAGTTGCATTGCAACATGACAACAGTTTTAACCTAATTCATCGTGCCTGCAGATTTGGAGGTATCTCTTTAATTTCCAATCAATAGTGGAGAAGAGTCATTATCTCTAATACTTAACAGTACACTGTCCTGTATGTGCAAATTGTTGTCTTATGGCAACCAAGGAATTATGACAATTCAGTACACAAGGGGAAAGGGAAAGAGATTGCATGACCTTCCAAATGCCTGTTGCAACTGAGACACAAATGCCTTCTTTCAAGAGCTTAAAAGGCATTTGGACAGATTATCTTGAACAGGGAATCTGCAAGCTGCAGCCTGTGGGCCAAATCCTACCAGCCATCTGTGAGCTAAGATGGTTTTACATTTTTAAATGGTTAAGAAAAAACAAAGTAAGTATGACATTTCATGATAGATGAAATTATATGAAATCCAAGTTTGAGTATCTGTAAAGTTTTATTGGAATGCAGCCACATTCCCTTATTTAAGGTCTCTGGCTGCTCTCATGCTACAATTGCAAAGATTAATAGCTGCAGTGGAAACCAGATATGACCCACAAAGGAAAAATATTTATAATATAGCCCAATACAAAAGTTTGCTGATGCCTGGTGTGAAAACGACCTCTCTCCCAAGTGGTAAGGCAAGGATTGATTCGACTTGCACTTTCAGGGTAAGCCCTGTTTGTTTTAGGTCAATCAACATTTCCCATATGTCCAACCATGGTGATTTGTTGAAGTTGGGGTATGTGGCCAACACATGCGGAATGCTGGGAGGCTGCTTATCTCTCTTGAGGATGGTGACTGTAAGAATGGGCAGGGCTGCATTCATGAGGTATGAAACTGGAGGGTGAAGGCAGAACAGAGAGAATCCAGGGACGGGGAAAAAAGATCTGATGACTCTGGGTGCTCTTTAAACCTCTTGTGAAGCTGGTGCTAGTACTTTGTACACACACACACACACACACACACACACACACACATTTTATCACGGTGAAAAACACATAAAATGTTCCCTCTTCAGCATCTTAAAGTGCACAATTCACTAGTGTTATGTACAAATACATTGTTGTGAAACATTTCCAGGATCGGGATATTGTTTAGAACAAAAACTTTATACTTATTCAACAACAACGGTCCGTTCTTACCGCAGACACTGGTAAACGCTAATTGATTTATATATATCTATGAGTGGAAACTTACAGTATCTTTTAAGACTGGCTCATTTTACAGGCTTAAATTCCTCAAGGCTCTTTCTCATGTTGTAGCATGCCACAGGATTTCCTTCCTTTTAAAGGCTGTATATTATATCACTGTAAGTATTTACCATATTTTGTGTGTCTATCCATCCATCAGTGGACTTTTGGGTTGTTGGCCCTTCTTGACTATTGGGAAGGCTATTGTGATGAACTTGGCTATGAAAATATCTTTGAGACCCTGCTTTCAATTCTTTTGGAAATATACCCAAAAGTGGGATTGCTAGATCATACATTACTTCTACTCTTAATTATTTAAGGAATCCATATATTGTATTCCATAGTGGTTGCACCATTTTACAACACTGGCAACAATGTACAAGGATTCCCTTTTTTTCCACATCCTTGCCAACAATTCTTATATTTGTTTTCTTGATAATAATCACCCTAATGAAGGTGATAACTAATTGTGGATTTGATTTGCATATTCCTAATTAGTAGTGATACTTACCATATTTTAATATGACTGTTTGGGCCATTCATATATCATCTGTGGAGAAATGTTAAGTCTTTGCCCATTTACCAAATTTACTGACAAAATTTTTTTGTTTGATTTATAAATACTTTCTGCCATGCCTTAGGTCATCTGATCACTATGTTATTACTGTCGTTTGATGCACAAAAGATTTTAAGTGTGACATCCAATTTCTCTATTTTTCAACCTGTGTTGTCTATGCCTTTGGTGTTATATCTAAGAAATCATTGCCTAGTCCAATATTATAAAGATATTCTTCTGGAAGTTTATACTTTTCCATCTTTAGTTCAGGTCTTTAACTTATGTTTTATTTTTTATATATGGTTTAAGATCAGGTTGAAAATTCATTATATTCTCTGTGGGTATCCAATTTTTCAACACCATATGTAGAATTCTGTCCTTTCCCCATCAAGCGATCTGGGTACCCTTGTCAAAAATCATTTAGCTTAGGGACGCCTGGGTGGCTCAGTTGGTTAAGCGGCTGCCTTCGGCCCGGGTCATGATCCCAGGGTTCTGGGATCGAGTCCCACGTCGGGCTCCTTGCTCAGCGGGGAGCCTGCTTCTCCCTCTCTCTCCCTCTGCTTGTGCTCTCTCTGTCAAATAAATAAAATCTTAAAAAAAAAAATCATTTAGCTGAATACACAAAGCTTTATTTCTTTTCTTTTCTTTTTAAGATTTTATTTAATTGGCTGAGAGTGAGAAAGAGAGAGCAGGAGTAGGGAGAGGGAGAAGTAGACTCCCCACTGAGCAGGGAGCTCGATGTAGAGCTCGATCCCAGGACCCTGGGATCATGACCTGAGCCAAAGGCAGATGCTTAAAGGATTGAGCCACCCAGGCGCCCCCATTTATTACTTTTGTATTTCATTGGTTTATAAGCCTATATTGATACCAGTACCATACTGTTTTCATTCCTTTATTTTTATAATATAATGAGTTTTGAAATCAGGAAGAGTGATTACTACAGCTATCTACTGCTTTTTTGAAAAATTTTGACTATTCAGGGTTTATTGAGATTATATATGAATTTTAGGATATTTTTGCTTTTTTTGTAATCTCTGTGCCCAACCTGGGGTTTGAACTCATGACCCTGAGATCAAGAGTCCCATGCTCTATGGGGCGCCTGGGTGGCTCAGTCGTCAAGTGTCTGCCCTCGGCTCAGGTCATGATCCCAGGGTCCTGGGATTGAGCCCCACATCGGGCTCCCTGCTAGGCAGGAAGCCTGCTTCTCCCTCTCCCACTTCCCCTGCTTGTGTTCCCTCTCTCCCTGTGTCTCTCTCTGTCAAATAAATAAATAAAATCTTAAAAAAAAAAAAGAGTCCCATGCTCTACTCACTGAGCCAGCCAGGTACCCCTAGGATGGTATTTTTCCATTTCCCCTAGGATATTTTTCTATTTCTGCAAAAATGCCATGGGAATGTTGACAGGGATTGATATAAATCTGTAGATCACTTTGGGTATTATTAACATCTTAATATTATGTGTGCCAATTCATGAACCTACGTCATCTTTGCATTTATTTGTGTCTTCCTTAATTTCTTTAAGCAAAGTTTTGTAGTTTACAGTATACATGTTTTTAACCTACTTGGTTAGATTCATTCTAAAAATATTTTATTTTTTTGATGCAGTTGTAAATAGAATTTTTTTAACTTCCTTATGCAATTGTTCATTAAATGGGTATAAAAACATAACAGATTGTTCTATGTGGATCTTATATCATGCAACTTTAATGAATATATTTACTGGTTCTAGCTTTATTACTATTTTTTCTTCTTATACTTTTCTTTTTTTTCTGTGTGTAGAATCGTTAGTATTTTCTTAATATGACATCATATAATCTGAACAGAGATAATTTTGTTTCTTTTTTCCAATTGGGAAGCTTTTGTTTCTTTCTCTTGGCCAACTACTCTGGCTGGGACTTCCAATACGATGATGACTAGAAGCATTGAGAGCAGATATGCTTTCTTGTTCCTGATGGTAGAGGAAAACTTTTCAGGCTTTAACCACCGAGAGTGATGTTACATGTGGGCTTTTTACATGTGACCTTTATTATGTTGAAGTCATATCATTCTATTCAAAGCTTATTGAGTGTTTCTATCATGAAAGGATGTTGAATATTGTCATATGCTTGTTCTCAATTGACATGATCATGTCAAATTTCCCTTCATTCTCTGAATGTGCTGTATTACACATTACTTGAAGTCCATATGTTGAAGCATCCTTGCAACCCCAGGACCCCGGGATCATGACCTGAGCCGAAGGCAGACGCTTAATGACTCAGCCACCCAGGCGCCCCATAGGAAAAAATATCACTAATTCATCATATATAAAGATATTAAGGGGCTGTTGAATTTATGATGCTAGTATTCTGTTGGAGGATGGTGGGGATCAATATTCATCAAGGATATTTGTATTTTCCTTTTCTAGTCATGTGTTTGTCTGGATTTTCTATAAGTTCAGTGCGACCCTCACGTAGAGAGCTTGTGAGTGCCACCTCATATTCAATTATTTGGAAGAGTTTGGGAGGATTGATGTTACTTCTTTAAGTGTTTAGTATCAGTCTCCAATGAAGCCAACCGGTCCTCAACTTTTTGTTGTTAAAAGGTTTTCGAATGCTGATCCAATTTCCTTACTCGTAATTATTCTGTTCAGATTTTTTGATTACTTCATGATTCAGTACTGGTAAGGTTGTGTGTTTTAAAGAATTTACCCACTTCCTCTGTTATTCAATTTGTTGCCATACATTTGTTTAAAGTATTTTCTAATATTCCTTTTCATTTCTGTGACAGTGATTCTAATGAAACGTCTTTCATTTCTGAGTTTAGATATTGAAGGCTTCTCTCCTTTTTCTTAAACTAGATAATAGCTTGCCAATGATTTTGATCTTTTAAAAAAATCACAATTTTGGTTTTATTGAATTTTGTCTCTTGCTTTACAATTTTCCATTTCATTAATTTGTGTACTCATCTTTATTATTTCCTTCCTTTTGCTAGATTTAGGATTAATTCCTAAATTCACGTTTTTCTAGCTTGAGGTGTAAAGGTAGCATTTAGATTTCAGAAGGTTTTCTTTTGTATATTTGAAGCTACTAATTTCCCTCTTAGGTCTGAATTCAGTGCCATCTCTTAAATTTTAATATGTTTTCATATACATTTCTCACAAGGTCGTTTATAATTGCCCTTGATACATTTTCTTTGACCAATTGGTAGGTTAAGTGCATCGTTTAATTTTTACATGTTCATTAGTCTCCCACTTTTTCTTCTGTTGACTTCTAGTTTCATTCCAGTTTAATGGGAAAAGAGATTTTGAATAGTTTCACACTTTAAAATTTGCTGAGACCTCTCTTAGGGCCTAACGTGTAATCTATCTTGGAGGATGTTAGAAAGGTTCCTTGAGAAGAACGTAAATTGTGATGTTATCTGGTAGAGTATACTGCATATGACTTCTAGGTGCAATTAGTCTATTGCCTAATTTATCTTCTTTCTCTTTTATCCACAGTTGAAGTGGGCTCTCCGACTATCACTGTGTTGCTATATATTTTTGAATTCTGTCAATATTAGCTTTATATATTTGGGAGCTTAGTATGTTCAGTGTATGAATATTTGTAATGATTATGTCTCCTTCATTTGTGAACTGTGATTTTATCATAATATAATATCCTTCTTTGTCTCTTGTAATAGTTTTTTATTTAAAAATGATTTTGGGGGTGCCTGGGGGGCTCAGTCAGTTAAGTGACTGCTTTTGGCTCATGTCATGATCCTGGGGTCCTGTGATCCAGCCCAGAGTGGGGCTCCCTGCTCAGTGGGGAGTCTGCTTCTCCCCCTGCTCATGTTTGCACTCTCTTTCTCTGTCTCTAATAGATAAGTAAATAAATAAATAAATAAATAAATAAATAAAAATCTACAAAAAATAAATAAATAAAACTGATTTTGTTTGATATTAGCATAGCCACTCCTTGGCTCTTTTGGTTACCATTTAAATGTAATTTTTTCCCATACTTTCACATTGATTGTTGTGAAATCAAAAGTGAGTTTCTTATACATGGTATAAAGTCAGATTCTGTGTTTCTAAAATACCTTCTTACTAACTATGTGTTTTGATTGGGGAGTTTAAGCTATTTGTACTTCAAGTAATTACTAATATAAAAGGACATACTACTGCTACTTAAATTTTATCTTTTTGTCCAGCCTTCCTTCTATTACCACCTTCCTTTGTGTTTCATTGATTTTTTTTGTACTGACATGCTTTCATTTCCTTCTCATTCCCTTTTTCTTCTATTTTATAGATAATTTCTTTGTGGGCTATCATTACAATTACATAAAACATTGTAATATTATACCATTCTATTTCAAACAGATAAAAACTTAATTTCAATTGCATACAAAAACCACTCAAAAAGTTCTACCCTTCCCTGGCACATTACGTTACTGATGTCACAAATCGCGTCTTTAAATACTGTACACTCATTTTCATGATTTATGTTATTTTTCAATGTTTTTATCATTTAAATCCTATGTAGGAATTAAAACTGAACTGATCCATGGAGATTCTATTAATAGAAGAAGCTATTTATGTCAACATACTTAGCTTTATTGGAGAACTTTATAATTTCATTTGACTTTGCATTAAGGTATAATATCCTTTCCTTTCACCTTAAAGGACTCCTTTTACCATTTCTTAAAGAATTTTTCTTAGAATGTCTTAATTTCTTCATTTATGAAGGACAGTTTTCCTGGATATATTATTCTTGGTTGAAAATTATTTTTTTCCAGCTATTTGAATATATCATCTTACTCGTTGTCGTCTACAATGTTTTTGCAGAGAAATCCACTCATAACCCTATATAAACTCCCTTGTATGTGATGGGTTGTTTTTCTCTTCCAGGCAAAGATTTTCTCTTTGCCTTCAACTTTTACAGTTTGATTATCATCTGACTGGCTATGTGTCTTTTTGGGATTTATCCTGAATTACGTTATTTGAGCTTAATTTCTTCAATTATTGTGTATATTTCTTTCCTCAAATTTGGGAAGTTTCCACGGTTACTTGTTCAAAGAATGTTTATGCCTGGTTCTGACCCTCTTCTCTTTTTGGCCTTCCCTAATGCGTATAATGTTGATTCATGTCCCATGGTCTCTAAGGCTCTCTTCATTTTTCTTCCTACTACTTTTCTTTTTGCTCCTTTGACTCCACCACTTCAAATGACCTGTCTTCAATTTCATGCAGTTTTTTTTTTCTGCCTTATCAAGTCTGCTGTAAACTCCTCTAGCATAACTTTCATTTCAACACCAGAATTTCCATTTGGGGTGTTTTATAGTTTATAGCTCCTTATTGAAATCCTCATTTTGTTCATGCATTGTTTTCCTTATTTCGTTTAGTTGCTAAATCTGTTCTCATTTAGCTCACTGAACATTTTCATGACTGGTCTTTTGATATGTGAAACAAAGCCATGCACATGGATGTGTATTACATTAGAGTCCATTTCAAGCATTTAATTTTGTTGCTTTGCTTGGCCCACGTTTCCTTGTTTCTTAGTACACCACAATTTTTTGTTGTTGAACTTGGGCATTTGAGAAAAAAAAACAAAAAAAAACTCTTCCAGCCTTTATACACTGGTGTTATTTAGAGAAATACTTCACTGATCAGCCCAAACAGAGATCCTAGGATGTTTTAAACATTTTCTGAGGATGTTTCTTCTCTGGATTTGTGCATATGATTTCAGTCATTTTAAATTCGGTGGGCGGCTTATTCCTACTTCATCTCAGAAGCCCATGGTCTCTTGCTCCTCCTGACACCAGCCACTGGAACTATAGCTCTAATAAGATGCCACAGTGATAGCATCTGGTGTCAGCAGCTTCCAAACAACACTTTCAGTCCAATCAGCACTCCACGACAGGTAAGACAGATTACAGTCCCTGAGGGAGCGCCCAAGCTAGCTAGAACATTGGATGCATGATATGCTCTATTGTTTGTGTCCTGAACAAGAATCTTTGGTGTAGGAGGTATCTTCCTGGTTGCATCATGGTCGGTCACATGGGGGGAGGAACACGGCCAAGGATGCAAAACAACAAGAATTTAACTAACATGGTTACTGGAATTCTTTCTTTGTTTTACATTGGTTAGTGTACTACTCCTTCTTGATTGGTCTCTACAACTCTCACAAAGGTATATTGCTCCATATAGAAACACAGTGTCTATGTGGGAGAGTGAAATTATAAAGCTTCTTGGACTGTTATCTTGCTGATATCCCGGCACTTTATTTCTTATATCCAAATTATTTTAGAACATTTGTACAGTTATAGAAAACTACAGAGTTCCCATTCATCTGGCACTCAGTTTGACTAATGTTAACATTTTACGGTAGCATGGTAAATTTGTCACAATCAGCGAACCAATACTGATACATTATTAGTAATTAAAGTTCATATTTCACTCAGATTTCCTTAGGGTTTAACCTAATGTCGTTTATCTGTTCTAGAATGCCATCCAGGATATTCTATCACATTTAGTACTCCTACCTTCTTAGGCTCGTCTAGGCTATGAGCGTTTTACCACTACACTGGAGTGATATAAACCAAAAAATTAGTTTCATAGTTAAAGCCAAATTTGTTAAGAATTTTCTGTTGTTTGTAACTCACTAGATTACCAAACGATACTGCTTTCTAGTTCAAACACAGTATTTTATAATGATAAAAGTGAGGCCAGGCCCACAGTATCCAAGTGATTACCCACCATCACATACAATACCCTGTATTGGCCGTCAACCTACTCAAAATGATGATAGAGAAGGAAAGGGAAAGATAGGACCTTTTCCTTTCAATTTTATTATGCTCAACAGCAAGCCAAAAGTAGGCAGCTTTGGTAGAGTGTCCTCACACTGAGAAGTAAAATAAAAACCGTTAAATTAATTTTGTGTACCATTTCGACTTTCTGGGTTGGAATGAAATACATGTAAATGTATAAGCTATGAAATACAAATTGTGCAATTTCACTGATTCTGCATATGACTGCAAGCTCTCATATTTGCATATAAAGCTCACTTTGCACCACAGAAGGATCACCGGTAATATTCAGGCTAATAAATTAAAACTTTTAATTTTAACTTAATGAGAAGGGTGGTAAATGGCAAATAAAAACTAGTACTGAGAAGAGCTGGGATCCTAGCCCAAGAGTTTTTAGTTCTTACCACCCGATTTCTGTGCTTTACAGTGTAATTACAGTACCCCAGAAATTCACCTTCATTACATTCTGAATTCTGACTATCCTATAAATAAGCACAATAAGCTATGAATCAGTGACAAGGACGTGAAGATTTTTCACGGTCTCAAGGTTTTATTGGGAAATATATGCTTTATCAATGTGCTCAAATTCTGTTAGTGAAATTCCTAAAGCAGAAACTCACTGACTTATCAATCATCATTTTTTCTAACAATTTACTGAACATAGTGCTTCAGAAATAGTTCTATTCATGTAGCCATTAATTCATCATCCATCTACATCCATCTCTCTCTCTCTCTCTCTCTCTCTCTCTATATATATATATATATATATATATATACACACCTAAACATTTTTATAACAAATATTTATTAACCATCTACTATTGCCCAGAATGCAGTGAAAACAACCCTGATTAATCTCCTGTAGAGGAAAAGTCATGAGTTTCCAGGAATTTTTGGACTGAAATTAAATGCTATCAATATAATGAAATTAACAAATCCATTTAATTTTTTATAAGATCTAAGTAGAAATGTAGGCTTAATAATGTGGGAAACTGAACTTTAATCATTAAACTAAAAAATAAGAACTAGCTGAGGAGACAAGAGAAGGAGTGAGTTTGGAGAAAAAGAAGGGGGCGGTATCACAGAAGCCAAGAGAATGACTTAGAACAGAACATCACCAGAAATGAATCGGGGACTTTTATTTGGGAGCTGTATAAAATTCCTCAAGTAAAATGAGCAGTATTACTTCAAAAACACTATGGACAATTAACTTCTTCAAAGTACAATGGGGCTGTTTCTCTGTAGACCACTGGTGACAACAAGTTGCTATGTAATTTTCACATCCCTAATAATTATTTGCACTTGCATTTGGCATTCCATTGTGACTAGGTTTTATGTTGCTATTGTTGCTCCCTGATCAACCCCTCCCACAAAGGTGCTGGGTGGTGGTGGGAGCAGCTGCAAACCCTGTCATCAGCAGACTCCTCTCCTCTAGTCCCCATCACCAGGAAGGGGGGAGTCATGATATTCTCACGGTGAAGGTTTTACTTCTCTGTTGAATTTTGATGACGTGAACCCTACAACACTCTTCAGAGGTAGGCAATGGTTGTTAGAGCTGTGCAAGAAGTTCCTGCTGACAGTACACATACCACAGAAGTTGGCATTGCTCATAGTACAACCTCAGAAAAGACACTTTCCAATGCCTACGATAATTTCCGTCATACATAAAATAAATGGCAACTTCCCATCTCATGGGAGGGTTTTATAAATTTATCAGAGAGTGGGCGCCTGGGTGGCTCAGATGGTTAAGCGTCTGCCTTCGGCTCAGGTCATGATCCCAGGGTCCTGGGATCGAGTCCCGCATCGGGCTCCCTGCTCCTTGGGAGCCTGCTTCTCCCTCTGCCTCTCTCTCTCTCTCTCTCTCTCTCTCTCTCTCTCTGTCTTTCATGAATAAATAAATAAAATCTTTAAAAAAAATTTATCAGAGAGTGAATTAGAAATATAACAATGGGGTCAAATGCAAGATATTCTAGAGTAAGGTTTGGAAAACAATTACACCCCATAGGACAAAGGTGGCCCCTGGTTTCTTCTTGTAAATGAAGTTTCTTTAGAATACAACCACATCCATTTATTTACGTATTTCCTATGGCTGCATTCACACTACAATGGCAGAGCTGTCATGATTATGTCAATTGCTTTGAGTTGTGACAGAGACCACATTACTTCCAAAGCCGAGAATATTTACTATATGACCTCTTACGGAAAAAGTTTGCTGAAATAAAGGCTACGAGTGGAGGAGAAAAGTGTGTATCTTTTGGTGAGAAAACCCATCCATAACAGGTCAAAGAGATGACTTTCTGACAGAGTCAAGAGCTAGAAGCAATCTGTCCTCTTTGCTAGGCCTTTATTGAAAATGCCACAAGAAATTATAAGAAAAAAAATCAGGTGAGATTGGGAGGTGAGGGCTGAAGGCTAATCAGTCTTTAGCAGTTATAGTCTTCTAAGAAATGTGAGTGAACGAGCAATCCTGTCATATCCTTTCTGATTTCTTTCCCTGTATTGGCCGTCAACCTACTGAAAATGATGATAGAGAAGGAAAGGGAAAGATAGGACCTTTTCCTTTCAATTTTATTATGCTCAACAGCAAGCCAAAAGTAGGCAGCTTTGGTAGAGTGTCCTCACACTGAGA